TTGAACGGGTGGTACCAAAACTCAAGTTCTGGAACATCAAAAAAGTCTACCAAACAACCAGAAACATGAAAAAAGTGTACAAACAACCAAAACATGAAAGTTTACAACCAACCAGAACATGAAAATAGTCTACAAACAACCAAAACATGAAAGTTTACAAACAACCAAAACATGAAAATAGTTTATAAACAACCAAAACATGAAAGTTTACAAACAACCAGAACATGAAAATAGTTTACAAACAACCAAAACATGAAATTAAGTCTAAAAGTTTTCACACAACCAGAACTGTTTGCCAGAATTTACAGTCGGTGAACAGGAAAAAAAAAACACCTGTAGTATCACTGGTATTAAAAGAAACTTGTTCTTTTTTTTAAACTAATAATTTGCTTAGTAGTGACAGTTTCGGTGAGGCTGGGGATTTTTTTGTTTTTGTTTTTTGTTGGGTTTAAACATTCCTCAGACTCAAAGACACCCCCCTGCCTACACCGCAAAAGTGGAATATTAAGACAGTAATTGGCAGCTTTTAGCAGTGAAGGAGATTTTTTTTAATACCTGAATCAAAGGGGCAGGTAAGGTATAGTTATATAACAGTGTGCCTCTTTGATCAAAGGTTGTGTTGAATCCAGGCTCCAGAGGTACAGGGATGGTGTCCTTTGACGGACGGGACAGGGTGGAGATTCAACAGGGAGACAGGTATAGTACATTCCGGTTCGTTTGTTTTTTTCCCTCCAAATTCTGCTCTAGAATTGAAGCCTGAAAGATTGAAACCCAGTAACTCAAGCAGTCATTTTCAAATGTGAATCAAACAAGAAAATCTCTGACACCTGACTGAACTGTATAAATAGTTTTATTAGAGTACTTTATGGTTATGGGGAGCCGTTGTGGTGTAGCGGTTAGACGCTCGCCTGCGGATCAGAAGGTTGTGGATTCAGGCTCTGACAGAACTTGACTTTTTTCCAAACTGACCTTGGCTTCCGGGTCGACCCAGCCTTAAAAGGGTACCAGGTTTAGTCCTGGGAAGTAAAGGCGGTCACCGTCATCTTGCCGCCATCACCCACGAAGTACTGATTGGTCTAGAAGATACAGGTTTAGCCCTCTATGCCCAATACACCCACCAGGAGGTGTGGAAAGGGACCTTTTCTTTATTTAAACTTTATGGTTATGAGTAGTCGGTATTACCGGGTCTTTGAAAACATTGGATGTTGGGCAGTATATGTCACACAGATCAGCAGTTGCACACGCGATCAATATTAATCACATAAGGACACCACCAATATTGCGGCGACCGGACACGTGCCATTTTCTGAATCTACAGTTCACAACACCACTTTGGTCGCAGTCGAAAAACATTCCAAATGAAATCTGCAGCTCACAGGGTCGCGCCATGCACTCAACTCAGTAGCTGGCTCGATGAAACTATATCCTTTCAGTCTACAAATGGATCCAAAATGCAACGGCCACCGCCTGGCAGAAGCAAAAAAAAATGTGCCTCGACGCGAAACAGTGACTGCTGGCGTCCATTTTGACCGGAAGCTTCAGGATTTAAGCTGTAGTGAACTAGTGAACATGAAGAAGAAGAAGATATGAATGAAGCCAAATGTGTGATAAATACAGAGGGTAACTAATCATACATATAGCTAGAGACAGAGATGGGGCAGTGAATCTCTTCTCCCCAGCCTCCCCCTGTAGTCCTTCTTTTTCTTCATTTTTTTTGTACCGCTTTGGTTGTCAATGGGAGATATGAGATTCTGCTTCTTGCTTTTCTGCTGCAAACAAATAAACTCGACCTGTAAAACGGGTGGGCATTTGCATAAGCAACAAGAACTTTCCACCAGAGTTTACAGCCGATGAGCACAAAGCTGAAGAAGAACGAACGAACAAACTTTATTTTCAGAGGGTTACAAATTTGGCACGTATGCCTGTCTTATATTCGGCTCTTCCAAGCACTCATCTTTCGACTTGTTATCAATAATGCATGTTATGCTTACATAAAAAAAGACATAATGAAATAATGCATACAAACATCATTTATACACAATCATACACACTCAGAAATACACACACATACACATTGTCTTACATGCTCATACATACATAGACACATACACACTCACATACATACATACATAACATTCCTAAAAACAGAAGAAGAAACTCAGATACCTCATCAATGCCTTATCAATGCCTTTTCACACTAGTGATACATTTCTCCCCCGCAATGGGACCCCGAAACCAACATTATATTCCCCTTTTCATTTGTTTACAGTTTGAGAGTAACCACGTCCATGTACCCAGTGCCTTCTATATGCGCCGCGGATCAGATTGCCGACTGGTTTGACGGCCTGTCTGTCTGCCTCAACTGGAACCTCCGCCTGTCCCAGCGACCCTTGAAGAGCTCCGGCAGTTTGACCTCAATCGATTCCTTCGACTCTGACGGTATACCCACACCTGTGCCTTACACATCGTCCCAACAAAATAAAGTCTCTGAGAACAAATCAAAATGAATAACTTTCAGAACCAGACGATTGTGAGGCATTCCTGCTGAGACATAGCTTGGTGCAGGCAGACTTGACAGATCACTGTATTTAGAGAAATGTGCTCACTATATTTATTTATTTGATTTTTTCAATTAATTCCATAATTGACAAAATAACTAGAATGCCTTTGCGCTGGAATCCACAGGAGCTAGAGGAATCTAGCATACACATGGCTTTGTAGACAGACAGAACGACAGATCACTTTATTTATGAAACTTGCTGATTCTGTTTTTTTTTTTTCTTCCTTGTTTTCTGTTTCCGGTTAACTCTCTCTTGGGCCTCGAATTGACAGTATAAATAAGAATATTATCTTATTTTTCCATGTATAAGATTCTTCCCCCCCCCCCCCCCTTCCTATACAAGACAACCCCTGGTTTTTTTTAAAGCACAAAATTAAGAAATAAATTCAAATACATTCTGTGTATAGGACAACGATTAACACCCCCTCCCCCAGTTTTAAATTTAAAAAATGTGGGAAATCCTATCATGTTATACGTGGACAAATGCTTTTTTGCGACCGACAGATCAAAGATCTCATTTTTTGAATGGAAGAAATCCAAGTCAGAGTTGCAGCATCTCAAAGGTATTAATTGTTCATACTGAATAGGAGTCTCGCTGTGTGGGTTCCAGGACGCCATGTGGGGGGGGGGGGGGGGGTGTGTGAAGGGTAGACCCACCGTCCTGTCGTAAACGGTGACTAGTTAGGGGTGTTTCCTTCGAAGTCGGAGTGCATTTTCCTGAGAGGTCATGTTCCCCCTACCGTGCTAGATCTGTAAACATGAAAGTGCGCACAAAACTAAAGTTCTGGAAAAAGACTAAACTCTATAAGTGGATGAAGAAATAGAATTTTGTGCTGGAGTTTACAGGCGGTAAACATTAAGAAGGGAAAGAATAAGCAACTATTATTGTATAGAATATATGTATGTAGAAGTCACAGATTATAATAATTTAATACTGAGGAAGATTGTGTTAACTTTGTACTCAGTAAGAATATGCTTATTTAATACTAAGAAAGGTTGTGTTAACCACCTGAGAAAGATTATGTTAAGACTGGGGAAGATTTCTTTAACTTGAGCCTGGAAAACAAAAGGATTCTTGCTAATTTAATACTGAGAAAGATAACGTTAACTGAACATTTCATTAACTTAATACTCAGAAAGATTACATTAATTAAACATTTCAATATCCTAATATTGAGAAAGATAACATTCACTAAACATTTCATTAACCTAATACTGAGAAAGAGTATCTTAAGGCAGGGTGCATCTGCCTGAGAGGCAAGGAACCAACATTCTACATATAAATAATCCAAATCTGTACACACAAAATTTAAGTTCTGGATCAGGAACAAAGTCTAGGAGTGAATGAACAACCAGAACTTCCCGCTGGAGTTTACAGCTGGTACACGCTAACAAGAAGAAGAAGAACAAGTCTCGTTCTTTATTGTAAAACAACACCTCAGCATCTTCCATGTAATGTATTTTTTTTTTTTTTTATCGCTTGATTGTCCATGATTCACTTCTCTACATCCGAAAGCCAACCTTTGCTGAGATGGGTTGTTTTGTGTTTGGATATCAAAGAGCATAATTCCTCTTTTCGGGTACTATTTCATCTTCTTCATCTTCCTCATTCCCCTGAGTGGGGTAATTGTGTTGTTGCTGCTTACATCATAGATGCAATATTTGCCACTGTCGGCCAACAAATCCAGTTTTATCAGGCATTTATAGTTCTGGTTAGCCTTCTGTTAAGCCACGATGTTTTGTTTTTCTATGAATAGGCAGCAGATGAAATCATATCTTTAAAAAAAAATAGATTTAAAGTAAAACATTGTGTCCTGAGAATTAAATTGATTAGAAACAGTATACCATTGTATTCACCTATTCTGAATAATTTACTGTATAGAACATTATACCATTGTATTCACCTATTCTGAATAATTTACTGTATAGAACAGTATACCATTGTATTCACCTATTCTGAATAATTTACTGTATAGAACATTATACCATTATGTTGACCAGTTCCTAATAATTTACTGCATAGAACAGTATGCCATTATTTTGACCTTACTGCATAGAACTTATAGCATTATGTTGTCCAGTTCTGAAAAATTTACTGCATAGAACAGTATACCATTGTGTTGTCCAGTTCTTAATAATTTACTGCATAGAACTTTATGCCATTATGTTGACCTTAATGCATAGAACTTTATGCCATTATGTTGTCCAGTTCTGAATAATTGACTGCACAGAACATTATACCAATATGTTGAGCAATTCTGAATAATTTTTTTGAATCATCATCATCATTATCATGTGGCTGGTTCTTTACAGAACATCGCTCCCATTACAGCATGCCTGAAAGGAACTCTGTCCCTTATCACCTCCCCTCCCCTCATGCTCTTTTCTACCAAATGTGTCTCTTATGTTCTGTGCCCATGTTCACACTGGTCGACCCCTGCACCTCTTATTTGGTACCATGCCCTCTGCCTCTGTTATTTCCAAACTATTGCAACCTTTGATATGGCCCATTTCTGGGATAGGATGCAGGCCAATTTTTCTTGAGTACCAGATCTATCAGAACGTCAGTTTATCTATTTATCTGTGATATTCTCCTAATCTGTCTGTAGCATTTCAGCTCAAATGTCCCGACTGTACCATTATATTTACCATTATATCATTATCTTGATCAACTCTGTATAATTTATTGATAACAATAATATACCACTGTAATGATAATCTGTATACCGTTGTATTGAGCAGTCTTGTATCATGTTGTATTGTATAGAGCAGTATACCATTATCTTGATCAGTTCTGTATAATGAAGCATTGTTTACAACTGTATAACATTATATTGACCAATTCTGTATAGTGTTGTATCTGCTGGAGCCGAATATAATTTTTATCTATTATGTATAGTGTTGCATCTACTAGAGCAGTATACCATATTGATGAATTCTGTACAGTGTTGCATTGATTAGAGCAATATACCATTATTGTGATCAATTCTGTATAGTGTTGCATTGATTAGAGCAATATACCATTATTGTGATCAATTCTGTATAGTGTTGCATTGATTAGAGCAATATACCATTATTGTGATCAATTCTGTATAGTGTTGCATTGATTAGAGCAATATACCATTATTGTGATCAATTCTGTATAGTGTTGCATTGATTAGAGCAATATACCATTATTGTGATCAATTCTGTATAGTGTTGCATTGATCAGAGCAATATACCATTTTTGTGATCAATTCTGTATAGTGTTGCATTGATCAGAGCAGTATACCATTATTGTGATCAATTCTGTATAGTGTTGCATTGATTAGAGCAGTATACCATTATTGTGATCAATTCTGTATAGTGTTGCATTGATCAGAGCAATATACCATTATTGTGATCAATTCTGTATAGTGTTGCATTGATTAGAGCAGTATACCATTATTGTGATCAATTCTGTAAAGTGTTGCATTGATTAGAGCAGTATACCATTATTGTGATCAATTCTGTACAGTGTTGCATTGATTATTTATGAATTATATTTTACTGATCTCAGAAATATACTGTTTTAGTAATCAGATATGTTTGTTGTATTAGTCAGATGCATTTTAGTGGTCACAATTGTATCATGATGAATTGATTGGACCTAAAATGTTATGTCACCATGGAATAATTAGAGTGCTTTTCTCTGCCAAGATGGTGGTCTGTGCTTCCGTCTCCAGATGTGACAGTTTTAATGCTTCTTCTGCTTGATTCTTATTCATCTCATTCTTCTTCTTCATCAGCATGGATATTTTGGAAAAAATATATACAACCGAACGAAAAGTATATCAGCAAGCTTCACCATATAGCAAACAAAACATGAATGTTGCGGCTATGGAGCCTTCTTTAGCACATACGTAGAATAGATAATACTACACAATATCATTTATCTTCGTATCTTGTTTCAGCCTGGTCGATACTCTTCCAGGCAGATGCACTCTGACCAGTGTTGCCACTTTTCTTTGACAAAAAACATCCAAAATGGAGTCAAAAATATCTAAAAACATCTAAATTGGCATAGATAACATCTAGAAAAAACATCCAAATGAAAAGTCACAAATTACATAGCAATTGATATGACTTACCCTATAGAATCGTGTCCTCATCTTTACTGAAGTCTGCCTCACAAGATCTACAGGATAAACTTAGCTTGGATGATGAAGTTGAAGCTTCAGATCCGAAATGACTCTGGTATGCTTTATCTGTTCCAATTTCTTTTAATACCCAATCAGGGAGCTGATAAGTGGAACAGCCTTTTCCTACTCTTATCAGGCCGAATTTTATTGTCAAGATAGTATTTAGGAGGTCAAATTTCATCCTGGCTAGGTTAGATTGAATAAATTCACTCCAAATGAAAAACATATAGAAAGACATCTAAACGTCAAAAATGCCATCTAAATGCAAGGGAAAACATCTAAATCTGGTTGTAAAACATCCAAAGTGGCAACTCTGACTTTGAAGGAGACACCCCTAGCTAGTCTACTCTGATGACATGCTAGTTGGAGGGGTGTGGGGGGAGGTGGGATATTTTTAAAGAAAGCACTATTCAGGTTTTGAAATGTGCAAAAGTTTGTGCAGGGATTGTAGAAGCATAGTTAAAATAAATCAGGGAACATTTAAACCATTCACAGTAACATCTGGAGTGAGCGATGTATTGTTTATCACCTACACTGAAAATATGGGCAAAGATGCCGAGCTCAGGAAAAAAAATTATTAGCAAGATCAACTGTTTACTGATGACCAGGCCTTGACTGTAGATGCAGCCACAAAATTGCAAGATCTGTCATCTAGGGATGAAGAATGTAAAACTTATAATATGAGAATCAACACTGACGAGACAGAAACAATGTCAACT